ACTAGTCCAACTACTATGGAAAACAGTGTGCAGATTTCCTTGAAGAACTAGAAGTAGAACTACCAAATGGTAGATCCCATTAGCAATCCCACTATCAGGTATCTACCCAGAGGAAAAGACGTCATTATATGAAAAAGATACTAGCACAGACATGTTTATAGCAGCACAATTTGCAATTGCAAAAATATGGAACAAGCCCGAATGCCCATCCATCAATCAACTAGTGGATAAATAAATTGTGGTGTACATGTGTGTATATATATACATATATATATATGCACACACACACACCAAGTTGTGGTTGTACATATATATACACCATAATTTGGTGTGTGTGTGTGTGTGTGTATGTGTGTGTGTATATATATATATAATGGAATATCACTCAGTCATAAAAGGGGACAAAATAATGGCATTCACAGCAACCTGGATGGTTGGAGACCATTATTCTAAGTGAAGTAACTCAGGAAAGGAAAACCAAACATTGTATGTTCTCACTCATAAGTGGGAGCTAAGCTATGAGGACCAGCAGCTAAACTATGAGGACAAAGGCATAAGAATGATATAACGGACTTTGGGGACTCAGGGCAAAGAGTGGGAGGGGGATGAGGGATAAAAGACTACACATTGGGTAGAGTGTACACTGCTCCAGTGATAGGTGCACCAAAATCTCGGAAACCACCACTAAAGAACTTATTAACTCCTGGCCAACATTGTGAAACCCCATCTCTACTAAAAATACAAATCAGCCGGGCATGTGGCCAGTGCCTGTAGTCCTAGCTACTCAGGAGGCTGAGGCAGGAGAATCGCTTGAACCCGAGAGGCTGAGGCAGGAGAATCGCTTGAACCCGAGAGGCTGAGGTTGCAGTGAGCTGAGATAGCGCCACTGCACTCCAGCCTGGGTGATAGTGAGAGACTCTGCCTACTGAAATAAAAAAAAAACTAAAAACAAAAAACAACTAAAAAAAAAAAGAAGAAATTCTAAAGTGCATCTGAAAGTATAAATATATGAAATTAGGCGGTAAATTTTTGAAAGAGAACAATGTAAGATATTTGTCCTATGAGATGTCAAAATGCTTTACGAAGCGATAATGACTAGAAAATGAATAGACCAAGTTTCAGAAACAAAGCAATACAACTAGGAAAAAAGTGAAGTATATTCCAATCTCTCATTATAAGCAAAAGATAAATTTCAAATTAAGTAGACAATTAATTTGCAAATGTAAAATGTATTAGGACAAATTATAGGTGACCATTAATAAAATTTTGGGGTATGAAACACTTTCTAAGCCTGACACTGAAGTCCAAAAGTATAAAGAAAAAATTAGATAGATTTTACTTAATAAAAGAAATTGAGAACTTACACATACAAAACATTATAATTTTGTAATACAGAAGAGTACTGTTTAATAGAAATATGATGTATGAAATAAATGTGAGCCACATGTGTAATTTAAATTTTTATAAATGCATTAAAAAACTGAAAATTATAATTCATGAAATCAATTTCAGCAATGTATTTTATTTAATTCAATACATCAAAAACATTATCATTTCAACATAAAATCAATACTAACAATTATTAATGGGATATTTTACATTCTTTGTTCTCATGCTAAGTCCTTGGAATCTCACATGCATTTTATTTATTACAGCTCATCTCAAGTAAGATCAGCCATATTTCAAGTCTCAGTAGCCACATGTGGCTAGAGGTGCTGTCTTAGCACAGATACAGACTATCAAAAATAAAAGGCAAATAAAAACTTGAATAGATAAGGTATTTACTTTGTGTGTATATGTGTGTCTGCATCTCTTTGTGAAAAGGGTCTGTAGCTTTAATATATAAAGGATTTTTATGAATCAATAATGATAGGCAAGCTGGCCAGCAGAGAAAGGGGCAAAGGAGGAGACCAGGCAATTCACAAAAAAATCAATAAACATATAAATATATCCAAGTATTAATTATCAAATACTGAACATTAAAATATAAGAAATAGATAGTTTTACTTATTAAACTGTGAAATGTTACAGAACAAATTCTGAATTCCTGTGTTAGTAAGAGTATGATGAAATGAATACTTGTATATACTGCTACCGGGAATGCAGACAGGTACAACCCTTGTGGATGGAAATATGTATCAAAAGGTTTAGTACATGTTTCCCTTTGAGGTAGAAATTCTACTTGTAGGAATTTACCTTAGGGGGTGTATTAGTTTGCTAGAACTGCTGTAACAAAACACCACAAATGTGGTGGCTTAAACAACAGAAATTGACTGGATCACAGTTCTGGAGGCCAGAAGTCCAAGATGAAGATGTCAATAGAGTTGGTTCCTTTTGTGGGCTTTGAGGACGAATCTATTCCCCTGCCTCTCCCTTAGCTTCTGCTGGTTTGCTCACAGTCTTTGCTGTTCCATGGCTTGTAGAAGCATCATCTAATCTCTGCCTCCATCTGTGCAAGACGTTTTCCTTGTATACTTGTCTGTCTCCAAATTTCCCCTTTTTGTAAGGACACCAGTCATGTTGGATCAGGGCCTACCTTACTCTAGTATAACCCAATTTTAACTAATTACATCTGCAAGAACCTTATTTCCAAATAAAGTCACATTCTAAGGTACTAGGGTTTAAGACTTTAACATGTGGGTTTTTGGGAGACACAGTTCAATGCATAACAGGAAGTGATAAAAGATGTGAACAGACATTTGGTTACTAGAACCACTTCTCACCACCTGTCCTTTCCATCCTTGGCTAAGCCAGCATCATTGTCACTTGAATTCCGCCAGGCAGGCTGAAGGGAGTGTGCCAGGCGGGCTGGAATTGAGCATTCTGAGCCAGCCTGGCACATAGTTTTCCCAATTAGTGGGTCCATGCAATTTAGCTCATCTTGAAGTTAAAGCAATTTTTGCCAATGTTGCTAAGGCTACTACTTCTGTCATTGAGCCACCTTCATCATTTTTTCACAATTCTTCTTCCTTGACACTTAGGAAGTTTCCATTCTGTGTAGAGCAGTCGCCTTTGTTATCATTGAAGACTTAAGAACAGAAAACCGCTCAAAAGTAAAAAGAGAATAAAACAGCAGTATGTTAGCTGTCACCAGCTGGATCTGAGTGTTGAGTTCATGCCTAGGAACTGAAGCTCCTCCACATGCTTTTGTGACCAGATGTTGTGAAGAAACCTGGAAAGGGTCTGATCTTATAATTATGCATATGACTAGGACACCCAGGAGGTCATCTAATCATCTAATCAGGAATATGCAGATATATGGGTCAGGACAATTCCTAAGATAGGTATCATTTGGGACCACCAAGAGTGTTCTTAAGAATAGCATCATCTACGGAACTGGAGAAGCTACTGGCAAAAAACAAGTTGTAAAAATTCTCACCATAACTTTAAGGGTGGGGGAAATCGCTTCATTTTAAGGATTGGATTGCTTTTGATCTCAACTGCTTATTCTTTCTATCAATGTAAGTCACAGGAGAAAAAAGAATCTTGAAATGGAATCTATAATCTGTCCCTTTAAAGAACACATTTGAGTACCCAGTCCTAAGTGGTTTCAAGCACACAACATCACAGGACTCAATAAATAATTGATATAAATTAATGGCTGATGAAAGAAACATATCCACACTGATCTATAATTACTGGAAGCCACCTCATATATTTTTCATAAGAGTGACGTTTCATTGCAGGTTTTTTTCCTCTAAAATTCAGTGTATTTAGAATTTAAATTGCTTTCAATAATTGCTTTTAACTGCTTTCAGTGGCAGAACTTCTCTGTCAATATGGGCATCTGAGAAGCTTGGGATTCAGTGCTTCTTTTATATCTTCTGGTTCTGCCTGACATTATAACCTTAAATGGTGACACCAAAGAAGAAGATTGGGATGACCAGGAACACCCGTCGGGACACTTCAGCTGCCTCCCATTCTGAATGTGGCTTCCACAGAGCCCCAGCAGAACGTCCTTCTTCTGAAGCTTGCAGGAGCAGAAGCCGGGTCCAGACTGGCAGGAGAATGAGTTTACAGCCTAAGCCATCTACAGTGTAGGTGTAGGCCATTAGGTACAGTGTAGACATATGATGCCACACGGAAATCAACTCTGTAAGCAATGACGGAGATTTCAGCTAGTGTTCTGAATTCACTTCCCCAAAACAATCATCCAGACAAATGACAGGAATAAGCAAATCATCAATGACAGCAGCCAGTACCATCCCCTGGTCCTAATCAGGAACCTGACTTTTGTTACTAAGAGCATGGGTTGTGGAGTGTCAGGTAGACTGTGGCACCATTTTTGGCTCTGACGCTTGCTAGCAAGCTGCAACTTGGGCAAGTTACTTTATATTTTTGAGCCTCAGTTTCCTCATCTGTGAAACAGAATAATGATACCTACTCCACAGAGTGATTTAGCGAATTAAGTGAACTGAAGTCTAGAGCTTTTGGTACAATTACTAACAGCATTTGAAAATTAATTGGTACAATCTAAGTTAAGAGATCTGTCTCCAAGGTGTGTGTGTGCCCTTTGGTTCACATGTGTTGTATGGGGAGAGTAGTAAAGAAGGAAAGCTCTTTGGAAAGCTTAGGAAATCATCAGAAGAGTATGGAAGCTTTGAACATTACACATACCAATGAAGAACTAGTTCATATAGTATTTTTCTTTCAGTGTGTTTTGGAATATACAAATTGCCTATTTTCTGTTAAATATTGTACATTGGCAAGTTCTACTTTATTATTATTATTATTATTATTTTATTTATTTATTTTTTTTGAGATGGAGTCTTGCTGTGTTCCCCAGGCTGGCATGCCATGGCAGGATCTCGACTCACTGCAACCTCTGCCTTCCGGGTTCAAGCAATTTTCTTGCCTCAGCCTCCCAAGTAGCTGGAATTACAGGTGTTCGCCACCATGCTTGGCTAATTTTTTGTGTTTTTAGTAGAGACAGGGGTTTCACCATGTTGGCCAGGCTGGTCTTGAACTCCTGACCTCAGGTGATCTGCCCTCCTCGGCTTCCCAAAGTGCTGGAATTACAGGTGTGAGCCACTGTGTCCGGCCTTCTATTTTCTGTAAGTAAAAATGATTCCTTATAATTAAAGACACATGATAAGCAACATCCAATATTATAACTTTAGCCAGGGGATTTGGCTAATGCAACTGTATATAAGAATTCCAGAAAACAAGTGGTTGCGGAACAAACTCACTTCTACTTCTTTTTCCCATTGCCGTTCCTATTCCTTCTCTTCTTCTCTTCTTACCCCTCTTTTTCTTCATGATTGGCCTGAAAAATTGAACTCTTTGTATCTTAGAATGAAAAAGGGAAATTTTTCTTATTTTGATTTTTCCATGAAGCGCATTAAATGTCATATCAAGGCCTCCAGGATAAAGGTGTGGAGGCTGTAATCAAAGGTGAATAAAGCCCTTCCTTTGACTTATAGCTTTGGGTAGAGTCTGGGTAGTTGTTCATGAACCTCATTTTCTTTTCTTCCTAGTCACACAGCCAGACATTTCCCAGTCACTCTTCAAGGTAGGTGTTGCCACAGGGCTGAGTTCTGGCTAGTGCAATGTAGTTGGAAGTAATAGCTGTCACTTCCAGCCCCAGCCTCTCAAACTCTCACTCTTTTCTCTTCTCTGCTGGATTTAACGGACGATCTCAGAGGGGCTCTAAGGCCCAGGAGATACCAGAACTACAGAACGGAAGAGATGGGCCCTTGAATCCCAGGTGAATAGCTGCCTGCTGAACTCCCACATTCAACTGGGCATGAGCAAGAAATAGACTTTTTTTGCATGAATCCTCAGAGATAAGGGTTGTTTGTCACAGAGTCCAGCCTGCCCTCTTACAGATACAGCCTTTGGGTCCTTACATGGGCACGTGATCCTTTTTATCTTCACTGTGTCCTTCTCAAGCACAGAGATTTGCCCAAGGTCCTATGGTTAATGTTTGATTAAGCTGGAACTAATCCCCCAGTCCCATAGAATCTCTGCTTGAGAAGTTTTTTTTTTTTTTTTCCAGAGACAGGTTTTTCTCTGTCTCCAGGCTGGAGCGCAGTGATGTGATTATAGCCCACTACAGCCTGGACTCAAGTGATCCTCTCACCTCAGCCTCCTGAGTAGCTGGGATTACAGGTGTGGGTCATTGCACCTGACCCTGTGATCAGTAGATTAATGAGTATAATTCTATAAGCACCTTTGCATGACCTCTGTGTGTGCAGGTACTATGCTAGATACTGGGAACGCAGAAGTAATTGATCCCCAATGATTGTTTAGTTCAGCTACACAGAATTCTTAAGTTTACATCTATAATAGTGTGCAAAATTAAATACCTTACCAAACCAGGCAGTAATATCAATATGTAAATCAGGCTGAGCGTGGAGTAGGAAGGTCTTCAGGAAACTGAAGAGTGGAGACATCAGCCAAAGGTGTTTAAATAAAAAATCTGAAAACACCATGCTGGCCTGGCAAAGCACATCTCTGGGTTGAATTCAGCCCACTGGCTCTCAGTTTGTGATCCCTGCTCTGCAGCACCTCTGGAATGGTCCTGTGGTCATTGAGTTGCATGCCATTATAACGGCAACTGCTTAGAGTAGATCTGTGATCTCAGGCCAATTAGAAACCTCAAGATTCAATTCCAAGACTTTTGTTTGTGCCATCTGAAAAGTGGACAATCTTTTCCCCATTTTTGTTGCATGTGAGATGATGATAGTTTTGGCTCCTGTGACCATCTTGTAACCATGAGTGGAGGCAAGATCCTTATGTCTGAGAATAAAGCCCAGATGGAGAAGGCTGAAACCAAGAAGCACAGAGGCAGAAGCCAAGTCTTGGTCACCTGAGCCCTTGATCGAGCTGCTGCTGAATACAATATGCCCCTACTATTTTAAACTTCCTGAACCGATAAATCCCTTATTTACTTAAGCAAACGTGGGTTGAGTTAGGTTTTTGTTTACTTGCAAACTGGTGCACGGTTCTCTTTAAAAGGGGATCTGGTGAATAAAATTTCTCTGACTCCTTAAACACAACAGATGTGCCACAGTGTGGGGCGAAGATCTAGCAACTTCCAAGTCTGAATATCCATGGTGGGGCTCAGTGGTTACACTAGAATTACCAAAATCCTTTCACATTACTGAAAGAGAAGGTAGCCTCTTGCGAAGAAAAGTCCCCCTACACATTTCTGTTCCATCTCTGCATCATGAAAAGGATGGGACCTCTTGTATGTCCACATTTAATGACTTTCTGTTACTTGATCCTAGAAATAGAGTTGTTTTCAGACAAGAGTATCCCAATAAAGGAGATTTCTTACCTTTAAAAGATGGCAAGAAAAGAACTCAAGATCTAGGATGGTGGCAGCACAGGCAGAAAATCTGTATTTGATTTTAGGTCTACGTCATCGTCTGCTGCATGGCCGTTGAAGTAACCCTGGTGCTGTGCTACTCATCAATCCACCAATATTTATTGGGCACTGGCTGTATCAGGAACCATGGGAGGCATGGGGATCTTGCAGATTATACCCATCTCCAAGGCTATTGGGCACCAGAGACACAGGTTGTTTACTCCTGAGATACAGCATTACACGGGAACTAATTTTCCATTTGTTTACAGTTTATGGGAAACAAGAAAGCAATGAATATATTTGAGCCTGGATTATGCATCCTATTCCAGGATTAAGAGAAAGGTACTCAGAGGCAACAAAAGTAAAAACACACATGAATGCAGCCACGGTTCCCAGGACTCCATGCTGATGCGCATCCAGTCTTGGTTGTCATAAGAGTTGTAACTTTTGTATGTGTGTGTAAGGGCTAAAGATGTATAAATTGGGGCTAATCCTTAATCCACAGTCTGTGATTGGTCAAAGATGATAGGTTCAAAACAAAGCTCAAAGCTTTCTTGAACTGTGTTTTGTGCTCCAGGTACTTGGATTCCTTGGCCTTTGTGACACTTTACTTATAACATGCCCATTTGTGGTCAAATGCTACCTTTTATACCCTCCGAGGGAAGAGTAGTCTCATTCATTGTTGTAACTTCCACTGTGCCTAAGATCAGGAAGGAAAGAAGAAAAGAAGTAAAGAAGAAAGGAAGAAAGAATGGAGGGAGAAAGACAAGGGTTTGGAGAACATTTAAATAAATATTCTTGCCATTAATGAAGTGGCTATCAATTTCCTTACTTGTAACATTCAGAATTCAAATAAAAGAAAATTCTCATCTTGCATTTGTCCACATTTTGATCCATAGAGGTGGTTTTCAGTGTGAGAACATCACTCAAGATAGGAGAGGCAACACAGGGCAGAGGAAGGGCCCTACACAGGCCCAGAACATAGTCCCTGCTCCCGCATATCATTGTTGAGAGGTTTTGAGCAAGCACCTTCATTTCTCTGAGCCTTAATTTCTTCATTTATAAAATGGGGGCCATAAAACCCGCCTCACAGCATTGCAGAACCAAGTGAGCTAGCATATGTGAAATTGCTTCATAAATGGTAAAATAAAGTCTCCCATAATCATGAAATTGATTTAACGCAAACTTCTTATCTTCCAATTATGTACTTCAGGAGTTCAGCATGGGTCTCATTGGGCTAAAATCAAGGTGTTGGTGGGGCTGCGTTCCTTCTGCAAGCTCTAAGAGGGAATCGATTTCTTTGCTTTTTCCAACATCTAGAGGCTGCCCATATTCCTTGGCTTATGGCCTCTTCCTCTGTCCTCAAAGCCAGTCATGTTGCATCTGTCTGATTCTGCTTCCATTTCTTTCTCTGATACTGAGTCTCCTGTCTCCCTTTTCCATTGTGATTCCATTGGACCTACCCAGATAGTCCAAAATACTCTCCCTGTTTTAAGATCTGCTAGTTAGCAACCTTAGTGCCGTCTGCAACCTTAATTCCCCTTTCCATGTGACTTGACATATTCCCAGGTTCTAGGAATTAGGATGCAAATGTCTTTTGGGGGCCATTATTCTGTCTACCACAGCAATTTAAATTGAACCTTCTCAAGAGTCTTTAACTTTCTTGGTGCCCTTCAAAGAAACTGACTACTGGTTCTGACGGTGTTGGTAAGAGTTTCTACTGCAATTGCAGTGAGCGCAGTGATAGTGAGTTAGAAGGAGCTGCAACTCGTCTCGCAAGAAAGAACTAGGAATCTCAGCTAATTCTTCCTTTTCTTTCTTATCCTATGTCAATCATCCAGGCCCCCTAAAGTTTAAAAAATCATCCCTTCTCTCCATCATCACTATCACTCTCCTCACCTCTTGTTGGGACCATATTGTTCCTTTGTTTCCATTCTTGACTTGACCACCAGAGAGACACAGGGCAATCTCCTAAATCCCAAATCTGGCATTGATCTTGTGATAAGGCCATTCAGTGCTTACGTGCTGCTTGCAAGATGAGTTCCAAAGTCCTCTGCCAGACCACCGAAGTCCCCCTGCCCACCTACTCAATCTCCTCTCCTCCACATACATCTCACCCCTTACTCGAAACTCTAGCCACACGCATCGATTTGCTGGTGCTCACCCTGTGTTTTGGTTCATGCTCCATCTTTTCTCATTCCCCTGGGCCATGTGCTGTCCCTTATGGGGACTCCTATAAAAACAGTACCTACCTCCATCAGTAAACCCACTGCGTTTTAATTCTCCATTTCTGTATCTTCCTCCTTGGCTATATTGTAACTCCTTACAAGTAGGCACCAATTCACATGAGTCTTTGTAACTTCAGTACTCTGCATTAGGCCCATACACAGTTGGCGCTCAATCAGGGCTAGGTTAATGAATGAATTGAGTAATAAATTAAAGAACAAATCAATGAGTAAAAGGAGAAGGTAAATATGAGAGGGTGTGTCTGAGCATATGAGCCAAGGGAGAATTGCCATTGAGGTCCATCTTCTATGCAGCCAGCTGCTCGAGCAGCAACAATTTGAGAACAGCAAAATGCACTTAGGGGAAAATCACTGAGACCTTCCATTAAGGTTTGATGTGCAATGATGGGTGGCCATGAACTTGCACAGCAGCATAACAATCCCAGGGAACAGAGTCCTCGTACAAACAGAACCTTTCCACACATGAAAAATGTGATGGTTGTTCATTTGACTTTTATTGAGTCCCACCATGTTCCAGTCTCTGCTTCTGGCACTGGGGACACACTGGTGAAAAGGCTAGAAGGGGAGAGAGACCATCAGTGATGTGTAGCACTGTACTGAAGGTACTAATGTCAAGTAGTGGTCAATGCAATGATGAAAAACAAGGCAACCCGACATGACAAAGTGGCTAGGGTGATGAGCAAGGGTCTCTGGATGATAGAATGACTGAACAGACACCTGGAAGAAGATAATAATAATCAGAATATAACAATGATGGTGATGGGGCAGACGCAGTGGCTCACGCCTGTAATCCCAGCACTTTGGGGGGCCAAGGAGGGCGGATCATCTGAGGTCAGGAGTTCGAGACCAGCCTGACCAACATGGAGAAACCCAGTCTCTACTAACAATACAATAAATTAGCGAGGCGTGGTGGCCCATGCCTGTAATCTCAGCTACTCAGGGGGCTGAGGCAGGAGAATCACTTGAACCCAGGAGGAGGAGGTAGCGGTGAGTCGAGATCATTGAGATCATGCTGTTGCACTCCAGCCTGGGCAACAAGAAAGAAACTCCATCTCAGGAAAAAAAAAAAAAAAAAAAAGGATGAGCACTTCAGAATGCTTGCTGTGTACCATGCACTGTTTTGAGTGCTTTATCTGTATTAACTAATTAAATATCTCCAAGGATGATATAAATTTCCATTTGTTACATTTACATTTGTCAGATTTCTACTTAACAAAGAAGAAAACTCTATTTTCTATTTGCACAGAGAGGTCACCAAGTTCACATAGCCAATGGTGAGTGATGGTCTGACTCTTCAAAGTCCAAGCTCAAATCATAATTTATTTGCTGTTAATAATAATATTGATAGTCTTAATAGTTATAATCACAATGGTGAACAGTTCTTAAGAAAAATATTGCTAGGTGTGCTTTACATGGGGTTAACTCATTTAGTTTTCACAAGAACTCTGGGTAGATACTATTTTCACTGTTTTCTAGATGAAGAAATAAGCTCAGAGAAGTTATGAAAGTTGCTCAAGATTACACAGGTAAAGTGGTGAATTTGGAATTTTCACCCAGACAGTCCTCTTTTGCAGCCTGAGCTCTTACCCTCTGCCTTATGCATTTTTAGGCAGCCAGGTACTAGAAGATCTGGGGGAAGGAGTTGTATATATAAAATGAAAAGCACTAAGAGCCCAAGAAGGAGTCAAGGGAGAGAGCACAGGGAGACAAGGTCATAGGTTGTTGTAGATTATCATTTGGAGTGGGTTGTTGTAGACCATCATAAGGAGTGGGTTGTTGTAGACAGTTGTTTGAAGTGGGTTATTGTAGACCATCATAGGGAGTGGGTTGTTATAGGCCATCATAGGGAGTGGGTTGTTGTAGAACATCATAGGGAGTGGGTTTTTGTAGATCATCATTTGGAGTAGGTTGTTGTAGACCATCAAAAGGAATGGGTTGTTGTAGACTATCATTTAAAGTGGGTTATTGTAGACCATCATAGGGAGTGGGTTGCTGTAGACCATCATTTGAGTGGGTTGTTGTAGACCACCATAGGGAGTGGGTTGTTGTAGAACATCATTTGAAGTGGGTTGCCATAGATCATCATAGGAAGTGGGTTGTTGTAGACCATCATAAGAAGTGAGTTGTTATAGACCATCATTTGGAGTGTATTGTTGTAGATCATCAAAGGGAGTGGGTTGTTGTAGACCATCATAGGGAGTGGGTTGTTGTAGACCATCATTTGAGTGGGTTGTTGTAAGCCATCATTTGAAGTGGGTTGTTGTAGACCATCATAGGGAGTGGGTTGTGGCAGACCATCATAGGGAGTGGGTTGTTGTAGACCATCATAGGGAGTGGGTTGTGATAGACCATCATCTGTGTGGGTTGTTATAGACCATCATTTGAAGTGGGTTGTTGTAGACCATCATAGGGAGTGGGTTGTTGTAGACCATCATAGGGAGTGGGTTGTTGTAGATAATCATGGGGAGTGGGTTGTCATAGACTATCATCTGTGTGGGTTGTTGTAGACCATCATAAGGAGTGGGTTGTTGTAGATCATCATAGGCATCATTTGGAGTGGGTTGTCGCAGATCATCACAGGGAGTGGGTTGTTGTAGACCATCATCTGTGTGGGTTGTTGTAGACCATCATAGGGAGTGGGTTGTTGTAGACCATCATTTGAGTGGGTTGTTGTATACCATCATGTGTGGTGGGTTGTTGTAGACCATCATTTGGAGTGGGTTGCTTTAGACCATCATTTGGAGTGGCTGTTGTAGACCATCATATGCAATGGGTTGTTCTGACTACAGTGGGAAGCCACCTGACAGTTCTGAAAAGGGGACTGATATAATCCAAGAAGTACTTTGAAGGGATGACTTTGGAAGAGGGTGTGGAGAATGGATCCTGTGAACAAATTGGAAGCCAACAGACTAGCTAGGAGCTGTCACCAACTTCTAGAAAAGATATGGTGGCACCTTGGATGAAGGAGGTCAGCAGCAGTGACCAGAGAAATAGTCAGATTTGGACTACACTGAATCAGATTTGGAGGCAGAAATGACAAGAGTTACTGGTGGACTGGGCCAGGGAAAAAGAGAAGAACCAAAGATAACTCCAGGATACCGGTCTGAGCAATTAGTTGGCCAATAGTGTAAAGAGCTGATGTAGGGAAAAGATGCAGGTTTGGAGTGAGGGTGTGGCTTGGAATCAAACACTCTGGGACCTATTAAGTCAGAGGTGTTTATTAGACACGTGAAGGGAGACATTAAGGATAATCCTTGGAGATTCCTTAAAACATGACTTCTCCCACCTTAAGCTTAAGGTATAACTGAAGAAGGCTGCTGGAACAGCCCAACTTCTCTTTGAGCTTCATCTGGGCCAACCTGTCTCCCCGTGTCTCTTACTCTGAGTGACTCTGAGTACGTGCATGTGTGTATGTGTGTGTGCATGTGCACACGTGCGCCTCATGAGGTTCAGC